CATTGATAAATCAGATGTTACAACCTTTATTACGTAAATCTAGGAAACGTCTCGATTTTACCTAAAAAATACAGTTATATCAGTGTTTGTGTTTACAGTTATATCAGAATCTATTTGAAATTTTGTTTGCGTTATTAATTTACAGCCACGTGCGTAGACGAAATCTTATATTTAAGCCGTAATGGAAAAGTTAATATAAAAAACATCAATATTTCATTGTAATTTGTATGTATAGTTTTGTTCAGAGAGATACAAAAATAATAAAATTCGAATATTAGTAAATGTTCATTTGAATATTATTAATATCTTAGGAATACTATTAATATCACTTGAATACTATTAATATCTTGTGAATACTATTAATATCACTTGAATACTATTAATATCTTGTGAATACTATTAATATCACTTGAATGTTATTAATATCACTGGAATATTATTAATATCACTTGAATATTATTAATATCACTTCTATACTATTAATATGACTTGATAACTATAAATGTCTTAAATAGTATTTTATTACTTGAATACTATTATTGCTTTTTAAATAGTATTAATGTCGTTTGAATACTATTAATATCTCGTAATGACTATTAGTATTCCTGAAATATTATAGATTTCATTTTCATACTTATTAATATCCCCTAAATACTATAAATGTTTTTGGCATACTATTAATATCCTTTGAATACTACAAATATTTTTTGAATACTTCTACGATAAGTATCATTGAATACTTATACTTATTCATTAAGTGCTACTGACATTTCTTAAATACTATTAATATTCCTTGAATACTTGAATACAACGAATAATATTCGTTGAATACTATTAATATTCCTTGAATACTATTAATATTCCTTGAATACTATTAAAATTCCTTAAATAGTATTGATATTTTCTAAATACTATCAATACTTAAACACTATGAATATTCCATAATTACTATTGAACTTCCTTGAATATTATTAATATTCTTTGAATACTATTAATATTTCTAATATTCTATTAATATTTCATAAATACTATTAATATCGATGGAATACTATTAATACTCTTAATATTGCTTAAGTTTCATTCATATCAATTCATATCATACAGATATTAATGTTTAGGAAAGAAAGTAGTATTCAAAGAATATTATTGATATTCTTCAGGCCCTAAAAATATGTCTAGAATGTTAGTAATGTTTTTGGTCTATTTGTAATTTGCATATAATTTTACAAACAAAACAATAAATTAAGAAATAAAAATAAATATTAAGTAATAATAAATATTGATAATATTAATAATAATTAATATTAAAAAATTTTCTCTTAACATTAATAATAATTAATATTAAAAAATTTTCTTTTATCATTAATAATAATTAATACTAAATTAATAATTAATATTAATTAAACTAATAATATTTTTAATAATAATTTCGAGCAAAGTGGAAAAATTGACATTATTTTTTAATAATAATAATAATTACCGTATTCAATAAAATTGAAAATAGTTACTTGAAAAATTGTTTAATTAACAAACTATTTGTGCCATAAATTTTTATAAAGTAAATGAAACTTATTTTTTCTTTCTCTCTCTCTCTCTCTTTTCTTTTTTTTTTTTTGATACTGCAATAAGTATCCAGAATTTCAATTATTACATTATATGATCTTATATTTACGCGATAGATAGCAGCACTAATATTTGTGGGGGTATAAAATGTTTATAAAAAGAGGAGTTGAACAAGACTCTTTCGCATGTAGATTGTGTTGATTATAACTGCAGTTTGGTGTTATATTTCCATTCAATTCGTAAAGATGAAGAAGGTAATTATTATTATTATTATTTTTTTTCTATTTAATTACTCTCAAGTGATGTGAAATGGAAGCTTTTTTTCTTAAAACTCTAAAGAAAAAGAAAATATTTCTTTTTTTTTATTTCAATTCAAATTCAGTTTTAAAATATGAAAAATTTTTTTTGATTGTATCCAAATTTTTATATAATAAATATGAAATATAAATTTAAAAATATTAAAATATTAGATTATTTAATTGCATTTTGTAATTTAAGTGTAAAGTTAGGAAACATTAAATTTTTTCAAATAAAATTTTTTTCAATAAAAAAGAAAAATATTTTTTATTATTATTTATTTGTTTATTCATTTAATTAATTTATTTATTTGCTTAGCATCAACGGGTTTATAAAACAATTATTGTATTATATTATTTTTAGGATCAGTAATTACTATTATTTTTAGTTGTTACTATTGTTATTATTAATATTAATATTATTAATAATATTATTATTATTATTTAGTTATTATAAATTATAAATGTTTGTTTATATATGCATAAAATTAAATAAAATGTTAATTTTTTTTTTGGTTATAATTTATTAATAATAATAATAATTATTATTATTATTACTATTATTCTATCTTCATATTAGATAATTTATTTATTTTTTATTGCTAAGTAACTTTTTTTTATTTGTATATTATTGCAATTATTGTACTTAATTAAATTTGTAATTATAATTTTAAATAATTATTTTTATGGTTGAAAATAAAATTATAATAAGAGAATTTAATTAAAAATTATTGTTATAAATGTAATTAAAATAATTATATAATTAATCACATTGTTATGTTAACTGTATAATTAATTAATATTGACAGTATAGTAACAATTTGTATAAAGTAAACAATGTTCGGTAAAAATTTTTGCTACACGTGTTAACGTCACTTTGAATTTTTTTTGGGTGCTTTTTTCTATACAAAGGACATAATAATTTATTAAATTTTTAAAATTATAAAAGCGAAAGATACATATTTATTAATCAAGCTCATAATTAAAACGCCAAGTATTTCATCACAAGTGTAGATTTCGAAATTCCAATAGTGTGTCGTCGCCTTGATGTTTATATGAAAAAAAAATCAGAAAAAAATAGCGGACCTTTTCCCGAACGTGTTTACGTCGTAATCGAGGGAAGTAATAGGCATTCATTCATACGTGACCTAAAGCGCAGGCGGATCTTGTTCCTTCGATTTTCTTATAATTTTCATTATTTTATTTTTAAACACTAATGATAAAAAGAAAAAAAAAAATTTTTAAATACGATAAGCATGAAATTATTTAAATTCTTGGGATATTCTGATTTTTTGTTAAAATTGATATTTTTTTAAAAGAAAAAAAATGTTTCCATCAGTTTTTTCGGCTGTTTTCGTCAGAATAGAAGTAAAAAAGAAAGGAAATTTTTTTTAAAATTAATTTCGGGGCACAAATTTTTGGAAAAAAAATGTAATTTGTTTTTTTTCGAATTTTTTGAAGTTGATGACAAAAATTTTAAGAGTAGGTTTATAAAAAAAGTAGTGTGAGAAAAGGATTTAAAAATAGAAATTAAAATTTATGGAGTAAATCCGATATTTTGTGTTTGGGTCAAAAAAGTCCTTATGGAACAACATTTTCTCGAAATTTTTCAAAAAAATAAAAAGTAGTGACAGCTTTTTTCAAAATTAAGTTAAATTAAAATTAAATCTGGTAAGGAGTAAATATGATTCACAAGAAACAATCAATAAACAATTTTTAAAATTTAGAATTTTCCGGGCATGTATTTTTTTGGCATATTTGTAAATATATAATAATTGTCCTCTTTCACAGGAAAAAGTGTTTTTGATTTTTGAAAAAATATTTCAATCTCCAGTGGCCGGAAAACCCCTGAAATTTTATACTAAAAATCTTTTTTGACTAAATATCTCCAAACAACTTTCCCGTTCATAAAAAAAAAATGTTTGATTTTGAAACAAAAAATTCAATTTTCAGTGTCCGGAAAAACCCTGAAATTTTCAACTAAAATATTTTTTGGCTGTAATTATCTCCAAATAACTTCCCACCCTCCCGTAAGAAAAAAAAATTTTTTTTTGACAAAAGAGATTTCAATTTTCATTGCCCGGAAAAACCCTGAAATTTTCTCCTAAAATCTTTATTGACTATTTAGTACCTAAAAATAACTTCCCCCCTCTCAAAGAAAAATATTTTTTATTTTGAAAAAATGATTTTAATTTTCAGTGCCCGGAAAAACCCCGAAATTTTCGACTACAATTTTTTTCGCATATTTTCCAAGTTTTTAAAAAAATTAACAAATTGCTAACTAATCAGAATTTTGAAAAACAAATTTTAATTTTCAGTGCCCTAAAAAATCAAAAAATTTTCCACTAATATTTTCTTTTCTCTAAATAACTTCCCACTCTAAAAAAATATATATATTTATAAATAAAAAAAAATGATTTCAATATTCAGTGCCCGGATAAACCCCGAAATTTTCGACTAAATTCTTCCTTGCCTAATTTTTTTTCTCTGTGGTACTAAATATTTTTCCAGTTTTTATAAAAATTAACAAATTCCCAAATAATCTGAATTTTGAAAAAAATTCAGATTTTCATTGCCCAGAGAAACCCTGAAATTTTCTACTAAAATTTTTTTTGACTGTAAGTATCTCCAAATAACTTTCCACCAACCCCCCTTCAAAGAAAAATACATTTTTTTGACAAAAAAGATTTCAATTTTTATTGCCCGGAAAAACCCTGAAATTTTCTTCTAATATCTTTTTTGATTATAAGTACCTCCAAATAACTTCCCCCCTCTCGAAGATAAAAATTTTTTATTTTGAAAAAATGATTTTAATTTTCAGTGCCCGGAAAAATCCCGAAATTTTCGACTAAATTCTTCTCTCCCTGATTCTTTTTTCTCTGTGGTACTAAATACTTTTGCAGTTTTTATAAAAATTAACAAATTGCTAACTAATCTGAATTTTGAAAAAAAGACTCACTTTTTAGTGCCCGAAAAAACCCCAAAATTTTCTACTAACATTTTTTTTTTTTTTTGACTAAGTATCTTTAAATAACTTCCTCTTCTCAAAAAGAAACGAAATAAATATTTTTTATTTTGAAAACAAAATTTTAAAAAGAATTACTTAATAAAAAAAATTTTTTTTTTTGAATATGTTTTCAGGAATTATTGGAAACAGAGGAGAAGATGAAGGACAAAACGAAAGACACAATTTTGGTACCACCGGATGGCGGATGGGGATGGGTGATTCTTACGTCCGCCGTTTTAGTGAACGTCCTAATTCCCGGGACCGTTAAATCATTCGGTGTACTTTTTGTTGAGTTCCTCGAAGTTTTTCAAGCTTCACCGACAACAGCTTCCTGGATGCCTGCACTCTGCTATTTCCTCTACAGTTCCCTTGGTAATTATTAAACATTTTTTACTTTTTTTTTAAACATTATTTACCATTTTTTTCCGAAGTAATTTTTTTACCCTTTATATACTTTGTATATATGTACAATTTTATCTACAATATAGAGGTCTTCATTGAAATAAGAAAATTTGTTAATTTTCTTCGTTAGAAATATTAATAAAAATTCCTTGATGCTAAAACAATTGTTAAAAAATTTTTTTTTTTAATTATTTGCTAAAGATCTTTTTAAAAATCTTCTTTTTAAAAAATAAATTTTTTTTTATTCTTCACTAAAAAATTATTTTATTTAAATTAATGCTGGTTTAAATAGTGATTATATGCAAATAGTGTTTAAAAAAAATAGAATTTGTTTAAAAATTTTAATTTTTAAAAATTTAATTAAAAACATTTTTTTATTTATTTCGGTTGTAAAGAGAAAATTTCTTATTGGGAGAGTTTTTTCGTTTAGCAAATTTTCTTATTAAATTGCAATTTTTTTTCGAATGGAGAAAAATAATTATTGACAATCGACCCCTGTTTCTCAGGCAGGAGTATTATGCGGATTATTTCGGGTTATTTCAGGACCGTTGTCGAGTGTCCTGTCAATGAAGTATTCCTACAAAACTGTGACAATGGTCGGCGGAGCGTTCGCAGCATCCGGAATGATGTTTAGCTATTTCGCCACTTCTGTGCCATATTTGTATGTCAGGTGGGTTAGAATTCACAAATATTTATTTCTATTTACTAATATTTACTTCTCATTAATTTGTTTCTTACGAATTTTTAATTTATCGTTAAAAATTTGACGTTCCTGAAAATTTGTATCGCTTGGGAAAAATTTCCAAGGGGCCTTGAATTTGTAGTTACGTTCCTGCGTCGCGCAGGCGCATTGGCACCTAACCTCCAAAGTTCCCACCGTATTTAACGTTTCGATGTAAATTACTCAAGGTAAATTGTGTTTTTTTGTTGATACAGTTATGGAATTATGGTTGGAATCGGGGCAGGTTTAACGTGTCCTGTCAGCGTCTACATAGTGACGGAGTATTTTCAAAAATATCGGGGATTCGCGAACGGAATGTGCATCTCCGGCAGCTGCTTCGGCGCTATAATCCTGCCGCCTCTTTTGCAGCATCTTCTCAACACTGTCGGCTACAGGTTAGTGAATTTTTTCCCACAACTTTTTTTCAATCACAAACTAATATCTAATCATCAAAACTCTCGCTCTCAAACATTGGGTCCAAAAATTTTTTTGTTTTTACTTTCTAGGATCGCATTAATTTCTAACTAAATTTGTCTGCGACTAATGCCATCACAACACTCGCTCTCAAACTTTGGTTCCAACATTTTTCGTTCTTTAACAGTTTTTTTTAATAGTTTCTTCTTAACAGTTTCTCCTTAACAGTTTTTTCTTAACAGGTTTTTCTTAACAGTTAATGATCCTAACTTTTCTAATCGATTCTTAACCAAGCTTTTTTAACAAAAGTTAGCAAAAGCAATTCAAAAGTTCTTTCATTGTTCTGCATCTAATCCTCTTGGTCTAAAATAAAAATGGTTTGTTTCTAATCCGCTTGGAGCAAAAAGTCCTTCTTGATAGCAACTAGACAAAGAAAATTAATTGCTATAAATAAAAATTCCAAATAGGGGAGCCGTGCTGATAATGGGAGCGATAACGCTAAACAGTGTACTCTGTGGACTCCTCTATCATCCAGTGGAGCGGCACATGAAAAGAATACCCATCACTTCGGAAAAATGTGGAGTCGACAATAAAGCTCTAACACTTGACGAATCATCAGCAGACATCACTCAATCGACTAACGAAGAAAATGCAAAACAAATCTCAAATCAATCAATTATTTCAGCAGATAAAATAAATCCAACAATTAGAGAAAAAGATCTGAACAATAAATCACTTCAACTGGATAGGGTTATCAATTCAGAGGAATTAATTCTACAACCAGAGAAATTAGACAATAAATGGTGTCTCCAATTGAATCAAAATCAATCAATCTCGATTGAAGTGCCAATGGAGCGTTATCGTAAAATTTCCCGAGCCGAGGATAAATTTACCGATAGTACAACAAGAATAACCAAAACAATTGAAATGTCAACTAGTCAAATGAATGAAATTAATCGTGAGAATTCTTTTTTTACTGCCAGTGCACAGGAGAAATTCACCTCATTACCAATTGACGACACTCCAAAATCACGTGTACCAAGAATATTTAAAAGCTTATGCTCCAAACAATTTGCCAGCAAAAAAAATTACAATGATGAAAAATCATGTGAGGCGAATTTTGATCCTGAAAAACAGGATTTGCCGAAAAAGAAGAAATTCTTTGATCTCAGTATACTTAGGGATCCAATATATCTTGTTATTTTAATATCAAATTCAACATCAGCAATAAGTAATACAAATTTTATGATTTTATTACCATCCTATGCAATTGCTGAGGGTTTCGATAAGAATTCAGCAGCACTATTATTATCAATTGTCTCGGCATTGGATCTTATTGGAAGAATTGGTGGCGCATCATTGTCGGACATTAATTTTATTCCAAAATATTATTATTTTGTTGGTGGTCTTGGTGTTAGTGGTATTGCACTTGCACTATTGCCAATGTTCTCTAGTTATCGAATGTTATCATTTTTTTGCGGTCTCTTTGGAATATCGTCGGGTACATACATTGGAATAACGACAGTTGTACTTGCTGATATGTTGGGAGCCGATAGATTGAGTTCCTCCTATGGTATTGCATTGTTTGTCAATGGTGTTTTACAATTACTTGGACCACCGATACTTGGGAGTATTTACGAACAAACGGGAACTTATAAACCAATATTTCTCGCATTGGGAATTATTCTTATTTTGGGCACATCATTGTGGGCGATTGTGCCAATTGTCAAGAGAAGGAAAAACAAGGAAGTGGAGGAGAATTAATTTATTAATATAGTGTCGAATTTTTATTTACCCCAGAAGGGGGGGACTTTTATTATGTTCCCATGAGGAGATTTCATTTTTAGTATGAAACTTGACTTTAATGAATATTTAAAATAGGGAAAATGAAATGATAATGTGAAGTGACGGTAGAATGGCGTCTTTCGAATGTTTCGCCCGCAGTCGGTAAGGTAGATTGCGCTACTAACTGACATTGTTAAACAACAGCGAATTTCATCCGAAAAATCGTAAAACTAATTTTTTAATAATTTAATTTTTAATTAAGTTTCTTAAATCTCGTGAAAAATACTCCACAGAATTCCATATATATATATAAAGCAATTTCTTTCTAGAGAAACATTTTTATTTGCATTTATAGAAAGAAAATTTTTCCCTTTTTTGTTTTTCATATTTAGTTTTAAGGACATATTATTATATCACTACAGACTTTAAAGTACCTGCCCCAAGTTTATTTTCTTCGGACGATATACTAAGTTGTAGACGAATTTTCCTTTCTAGACTGAAAAACAAGTATTTTAAAAAAATACTTTTTTTAATCAACATCTTGCTCAGCCTTTTTTTTTAAATAAATAGATTCCTCAATTTTTTTAATTTTAATTATATTGTGAGTGTAAACAATTTTTATCTTTTTAGGAAAAAAGAAATAATTTTTACTTTAATATTAATTTTAGTCAATATTGACTTTTATGACAATTTTTAACGTTGTTATTAATATCTAATTAATTTACAAGTGAAATTAAATAGTTGAAATTACAAATAATTTATAATAAAATTGAATGTTAGCTTAAGTTTTATTGAATTAAATTTTATTTTTGGTTAATATTTAGGAATGGTGCGATAATAATTATAAGATAAATAATGAGAGTAGAATTTATTTTTGTGGTAGATTTAATTTAAATAAATTAATTAACTTCTTAATCATGTTTAGTTTAAGTAGAAAATATTATAAAGACAGTAATTCAGTTAGTAGACGAAATTTAATAAAATAAAATAAAAAACATATTTTTTTATTAAACTTTGTAAGCGATATATTTGTAATAATTATCAACAACAAAGGTACTCATTGTAAGACTTGTGAATTAAAACTTTTTATATAAAAAGTATAAAACTTATTATAGCCCTACTTTTAATGTTAATATTGTTATTAATTTGTTGTTCTTCTGAAATTTGTAAGAACATTTTAATATATATATATATATATATACATATATATATATTTAATTTATTCTTAAAAATAGTGAATTTATAGACGAATTTTACTCAAAAACACTAAAAAAAATTGAATTTTGTAAAAATGATAAATAATTGCATAAATTCAATTATTTTAAAAAGTAATAAAATTCTTTTACAAAATTTAATTATTTTAAAAATTTTTAATAAAGTTCTTGGTAAAATTCAATTTTTTAAAAGTTTTTAATAAAATTTTTAGCTAAATTTAAATTATTTTCAAAAATTTTCCTCAATTTCATATGAATTTTAATATTTACAAATTTTTTATTAATTTCTTCGCAATAATTTAATTATTTTCAATAAATAATAAAATTTTTTACAGAGATTGAATTATTTTCATAAATAATAAAATTTTTTTTTAGGAATTCAATTATTTTCATAAATAAAACTCATCGCAGAATTTCAATTATTTTTAATACAATTTTAATCGAATTCCTCGAAAAATGTTATTGTTTTTAACAATTTTATTAAAAATTGTCAAAAGAAATCAATTATTTAAAAATGTTTTGATAAAATTCTTTATGACAATTTAATTTTAAGAAATATTTAATTATTCAATAAATTATTTATTTTTGCATTTAAATAAATGAATTATTGTAGAATTTTCTAATAAAAATTGATTTAAAAATGAATTTCAGTTAAAATTTTAGATTATTATTTTTAATTTATTATAAAAAAATGAAGAAACCGATCACTCTGAGTCGAAGACTCGGAGTTATCAATTTCTTCATGTTTTATAATAAATATTCTTATAAGTTGTTAAATTTCAAAAGGGTTTGAATTTGAATCTTTTGAAGAATTTCAATTCCTATGGAAAAATAATAATGATTAAATATTTATTTAGAAAAGAAGTTATTGATGTTTTTGAATAATTTTACAATCGTTTTTAACAAATAGAAATTTTGTAAATATTCTTTCCAAAATAAATTTAAAATTTCTTAAACAAAATTTGATTAATAACATTTTGTTTTTGTTTTGTACTTTTGTTTATGAACTGTAATTAAGAAACAGAAAATGTGCAAAATCTTTTTTACTTTCTAATTTTAATTTTCCAACAATTTTTAAATTTTTTTTTTAGAAATAAGGAAAGAATAGCTGCATAATTTTGATTTGTCAAACAATTAAGTTTTTCATATTAAAAAAAGGATAACATTTTGCAGGATTTACATTTGTTAATTACCGAAAACGTTTGTTAGAAAATGCTAATTTCTTTTAGAAACAAAGAAATAATGAATAATAATATTAATAATTTTTTTAGATTAATAAAAATATTTATGAATTATTTGAAAAATAAAGATAATATTATCAAAATATTATATGATTTTATCACTCGGTTTTATTAAATAATATTATTAAATTAAAAAATAATAAAAAAAAAATAAAGAAATAGGTATAATATTATCTATCAAAACATAAAAAAACAAAAGTATTATTAAAACTAACAATCATTATTTATAACAAAAGATAATTATTATAATTACTATTTTTATTTATTATTTTTTTTATTATCATTGTTATTATTATTACTATTATTATAATTGTTATTATTATTACTATTATTAATAATTCTATTAGTATTCCTATTGATATTTAATTAATTATTAAATTTTTATTAAGTATTATTTATTTATTTATTTAATTATTTGCAAAGTAGTAATTAAAAAAATAGTGAAAACTATTAATTCTATTAACTATCGCACTCTATTGAGAAAAAAACGAAACTAAATGCTTCTGAACTGCTGTGGATAAAGTCGCGAGTAATTTTATCAAATATGGATCAAATAATAGGAAAATATTTCATTTATCTTTTGTTAGTATGTGCAAAATACAAGGATGTAGAACTAAAGAAAAATGTTGATGTTGTACAATTTTATCATCAGTAGATAAAAATTTTAAGAACAGTTTTCTGCAATTTTTTAATTTTTGAAAGAATTTAGTTTTTGTTAATTATTTTCTTCGTTCTTTGATATTTTATCAATATTCAATTTATTATTTATTAATTTATTTATAATTATTTATATTTATTTATTATTATTTAAATTTCACGTTCGAAAAATACAATTTTAAATTGCAATTTTATTGAATTTATTAAATGGATTTTTGTTAATTTTATATTTATTTTTTTTAAGAATTAGTTTTTGAATATTGAAATTTACTATTTTAAGTAATTTATATATATAGAAATTAAAGAACGTTACATTTTTATAAGTTATAAAGGTTATAAATTTAGATTTTAATTTACAGTCTGTCATTAGCGGAAATTCCCGCCTTTATTTTAATTATATTATAAAGTAAAACATTTCAAAATAAATAGTTGAACCTTTAAATATTTATTTATAGAGAAATAAACTTAAAAGAATATATTACATAAAAAGCTATTAAAATATTTTTTAAGCCAATAAAAAAATTTTCCATTTATTTCGAAATGTTTTACCATACAAGAAATTTTAAATTATGGCGCGAATTTCCGCCAATGGCAGTTGAGGCGGAAAGCATGCGCAGTTGCGTTTAGAGAGGGTGCCATCAATTTGTAGATTACCGGCGGGGAGAAGCGGAGAGGGCCGAACGAAGCCACGTGCTACTCACGAGGAAAATTATTGTTCTCTTTTGATCCTGCCTTCGCCGAACTTGGACTGATTCTCCCGCAGATTTTAAATTAATATTTCTATTTCTCCATTTTAAAGTGTGTGCACCTGCGACTTTCGACTTTTTCTGAAGGAGTTTGGACACCGATTCTTTTTTTGGATAAAAATGTAAGTTTTAAAAATTAGTTATAAAATACATTAAATGAACAATTTTTGGTTATTATTTTGATCAACCGATCACGTGGCTTCAAAAATTAAAAAAAAATTCACGTCAAAATTATAATTAACTTTAGAAATAATAAAATTCTTCTCTGAAATTTAATTATTTTCAAAAATTTTAATAAAATTCTTGGCAAACATTTAATTATTTTCATAAAATAATAAAAATTTCACGAATTACAAAACGTTTTTCGTGTCGTGCCAAGGCACGGCACGGGCATGACACGAATTTTCGTTTTTTTCGTGTCCGTGTCGGCCCCTGATTTAAAATGATTTTTATAAAATTCTTCACTAGAATTCAATTATTTAAAAGAAATTTAATAAAGTTCTTCGTAAGTATTCAATTGTTTTTGAAAATTTTTAATAAAATTGTTGCAAGAGTTAAATTATTTTTAAAAATTTTAATAAAATTCAATTATTTTTAAAATTTTTATTAAAATTCGTCAAAAGAATTCAATTATTTAAAAATCTGTTGATAAAATTCTTTATGAGAATTGAATTTTAAGAAACATTAAATTATTTAACAAAATTATTTATTTTTGTATTTAAATAATTGAATTCCAGTAGAAGTTTCTAATAAAAATTGATTTAAAGATAAATTTCAGTTAGAATTTTTTATTATAATTGAATATTAAAAGCATTATTGCGTGAATTTTTATAAATAATTGAATTTTGAAAAGATTTCAAATTAAAATTTTTGAAAATCTGAAATTTGCATATTTTTAACTAAAAATTCTGTGGAATTATTGTTTTTGAAAAAGTTTAATTGAAAGTTTTTTTTGAAATTTTGTAAAATTGAATTGTAAACAAATGAATTTAAAAATTGTGAAAGAACTTTTTTAAAAATTATTGTATTAAAAATAATGGATTTATAGAAGAATTCTTAATAGAAAAACAGCTAATTTTTTTTGACCTCAGTTTGAGATTGACGGTCGTGATCGGTTGTGAAAATGACATGATGACGGTCGCGATTGGTTGAAATACAATGATGACGGTCGCTATTGACTGAAATAATTTCAAATTTTTGTGCGCGCGCAATTTTGAGGTTCTGATTTATTCCACGTGGTCGAGTGCGAGTATTATACATGATACATGATGAATATTACAGAATATTACAGATTACAAAGTGAAGAACACGTGTTTTTTGATTAAATATTCTTCATCATTCTTAATAATATTCTTAATATATGAGATGATAAAAAGTGAAAAGTGACAAAACAATAAAAAAATAAAAAATAAAATATCATAAGTGATCAGAAGTGAAAAAAGTTTTGTGATTAAAATAAGGATAAGGAGGATATAGGTAAGTTTTTAAAAATTGTGTAAAATACTACTTTCTGGTAAAAAAATTTTATTTTGTAAGTAATTGCAATTATTTAATAAACATCTTTCCCGTCTAAGTCATTAAAACATAATCTATTTTTTTAGCAATTAAACTTATAATAAAGAAATTTAAATAACTTTCTAGAATCAGTTAAACAATTCTTGAGTTTGCCTTGTTTTATTAAAATATTAAAATTAATATAATTTCTAAAATACTTTACATGTTTTAATATTTTATAAATATTATAATATTTTTAAAAAATCGTCATTTTCAATGTTTTACAAAAATTTTAATAACTTCTAAAATAATGAACGCTTTTCAATTATTTTAGGCTTAATGATTAAATTCACTTATTTAAAAATTTATTTGATAAAACTCTTTACAAGCGTTTTTAAAAAACATTGAATTATATTAATTATTTATTTTTGTATTTCAATAATTGAATTCTAGTAGAATTTTCAAATAAAAATTTTAATTTATCCCTAAACAAAATTTAAAGACTTAAAATTTACAAATTGTTTGCTAGTGAGAATAGGGTTCTAAATAAATTACAATAAATAAAAATGTACCTTAATTTTTGAAAACAACGTTCGCTTTATTATAATTCACTCTTTATTACAAGCACTCCTTTTTTTTCTAAAGAAGTCCAACATTTTTTTTTTAATAAATCTTTCAAACCACTCATTCGTCACTACAGCCACTCGCGCATCATTTTCGCCATTTTATATTCCTTTCATCTTCACTCATAAATAAATAAATCGTAGGCTAATATTTACACTTTTCTTTCAATAATTTAATCTTATTTACATAATAAGTCATTCGTTCGCTTAAGTAGATGTAATTTGTAAAGACTCTAGAAATATTGAGCTTGGTCTGGTCAGTATACGTAATACATTTTCATCGAATTTATTTTTTATTTATTTTTTTACTTGAAAATCATTCCATTAAAATGATATATTTTTCATTAATTTATTCCATCGCGGTGCAGCTTTTCAAAAATTAATTTGTTTTCATGCATTTCTTGCTGCTTATATTATAAAACAAGATCAAAGGAAAAAAAAATTTGTTAGTGAAATAAAATAGATGGGGAATTAAAAATAGAATCATTCTTTTTGTTAAAGTTTCCCTTGTGAATAATTGCTCTCAAAAAATTCTCACAACTCTAATAAAATTTTTTTTTATATTAGAATTGAGTTTTTTTGCACAGATTTGCACTGACACTATATTTTCTCTTTAGGCTAAATTCTCTTTTATCGAAATTATTAAATGATAATTAGCCTTCTTATTTTCTTCTTCCTTTGACTCTTTTTTATTTCATTTTCTTTTTCGCCATTTAAATTCTAAATATCCCAAGTAATACATTCTTTCAGGCACCTGTGAATATTTACAATTCAAAAATCAAGTTGTGAGAGAGTGTAATTCGTCGAGTCCGTCAATACTGTGTTTTCTTTTTATAATAAACCTATTACGACTCTACGCTGGAATGTACAAAAGTAAATCCGAGAGATGTAGAAAAATATGGAATCTATAACGAAAAACGTGTCCATAGAAAATAGCTTTTATTAATAAACACACATACACGCTAGTAAAGGGGGAATTCGATTTTTTACATGTATTTTCTATTTTTGTTGTTAAGAAAAGGGAAACAAAAATTTAGAAGCAATTTTCATTTTTCCTATCTACACTGATTACAATATTATTTATGAGAGAGAGAGATAGAGCTCGTATAAATTTTTTTTATTATAGCAGTTTTGTTCAGAGATTTTCGAATATTAGATGACAAAACTGTATTCTTCTAAGAAAACTTTGTGCACTTTTATCCAAAAGAGCGAGACTAGTTATTCGTTTAAAAATATCAATTTTTACCCTTGGGGGAAAAATAAGAAAAAAAATCCCCTAAAAGAAAGAGTTGAAGTTTGGGAAAATAAACCAAAGAAACTACATCATTGTCTCGTTACAGATTTTCAGATTATTAAAACCCAAATAAGGACAATCGTCTTCGCAAAAAGGTGCATTAGCGTCTCGCTCTAATGGATTTAGCCATACCCTCGGATTCTCAGTGTTTTTGTAATAGTAGAGTATTTCGAGAAATTCATTAATGCGCTAGGAACCCGATCTCGAACTTCCGCTACTTTTTCTTCTTGCCTCAAGTTGTTGAGCCAACATTGTCACTTCCCAATTATTATGTGCACTCTCATCATCGTCATCAGTGTCACTGCACCTTGCTGCACCACCAGCAATATCATCATCTGATCTACTTAAATCACTATCAACATCTATCGCTACGTCCTCCTTCCAAATACTTTGGGGTGTAATTGATCGCGGAAGATCCTGAAGTTCAAGTGTCTCCTCCTCGGAGTGCTCCTCCCAGGATCTTCGATTAATCGACGAATCCGTTGATGGTGATGAATGTCTTAAGCGCGGTTGCTGCGCCGAAAGAACAGTATCAACTGAACCGTCACGCATAAATGGATGATCCTCACGATCCTCCACAATGTCCTCCTCCATTGAACCCTCAGCCTCTGTACTGTCGTCCGAATCATCACAACTGCGAGACTTTTGCTGCTCCAGTTGGATTATTCGCATTTGCAGCTGGGAGATTATTTCGTCGCGTTTTCTAATCTCCAGCTCCAATGATGTGTAATCTTTTTGATACCTCAGTTGAATTTCATCCTGTTGAGAATTTTTATTTTTTATTGACAAGCTATTTACATGCTTTTGTATTTTTATTACAGATTATTACAAATGGGAGAAGCAAAGGAGGACCTACAGGGGAAAACATAAGGTAGGAAATATTAACTAAAAATCTATCTAAACGGGATGTTCAAAGTCGATTAGAAATGTAATGGCAAAATCGCATTTACTTTGACACCCCCTCAAGGAGAATACTTCCAAAAAATTCTTATAAGATTGAATGACAATGATTGCCGAGGGGCTTTTCACTTAAGATTCCGTTAGATTCATTTAAACATTGCTTGATAGATTTTTACGAAATCATGCGAAGTTGAGCGTTTTATCTATTTGCGCACGCGTTCAGTGACAGACTCTAACGGCCTCTGACGAAATCTAACATAATTGTAGTTTTGTTGATACAGAGTATGACAAGATCTGAACCAGAAATTTATGTTATTTCATGAGTGAGAAACCCCTCGTGATTGCCGGTCGATTTTTGCCTAAGAGCTGAGACCCACTGGCAAACTGCCCCCCCCCCATATTTCCCTCTTTCCGAAATGTAAGCATCGAAAGAAAATATTCATTTAAAAATCAATTAGCAATTAACGCGATATTAAGACAATTATGCAATTTGTTTATTATGTAATGACACATTGTTTTATTTTCAACTGAACAAAATTTAACTTTTCTAAGTAATTCTTAAATTAACATTGTTCCATCAACAATTTTTGTTGATGGAACAAAATTTTATAGTTGCCCAAAAATGTTTAAACAACTTTTTATTATTCATGGACATCATGAAAAAATTTATATTCCTCTAGCTTTTTTCCTTCTACCAGACAAAATCACAACATCATATCAAAAAGCGTTTGATAATATATCTGAATGTTCCAAACTTAAATTACAATTTTCACCAACTATCACACCCCTCCTCAAGCGCCGTAAAGTTATACAAAAATGGATCCAACTTTGGTCAACGAAAACATGTAGGATTAGGCTTATATTTTCCAAATTTTCAAACCGTGAAATTGCCCCAGCTTCTATATTCAAATATAACGAATTTCCATAATTATCCCAAAACATAATCTTGAGAAAACCAATTTTTCAGGTTTGGACACAAAAAATTTAAGCAAATATCTTTTGTTTGTGAATATTTCAAGTTTATAAACGCAGATGAAGGTTCTACTTACCTGTTCTGTTGTAAAAGAGGAAAAACAATTATGGAGAAGAATTATTTATGTATAAATAAATGTACTTATGTTGAATCTGTAAGATTAAATGTTTGTGAATAGATATCCAATTTTTCAACAAAAAAAAAAAATTTTTAAATAACTGACTCGTGAATTTCGAAAAGGGCTCAACTCGGATATTTTCAATTTTACAGGAGACACAAAAACTATGTATTTCAAACAGTTTTGGTTTAATGAGTCCAGCTTTTTTTCGTAATAACTAGATCCTATTTTGTATGAGAAAATGATAAAAGAATTGTGCTTTAATAAAAGTGAGTTTGAGAAAATTGATATTATAGTTGTCAGAGTTGAGCCAGTTTCGAAAATTCATGAAAAAAATTTAATCGTTTTAATCATAAAAAGTATATTAATGAAATGTTTTATTAACGAGAAACAATTTATTCATTTAATTTTAAAATGTAGGTATTAAATTTTTTTTTAACTGAAAAACAATTTATCATTTAATACTATTAGATTGATACTCTTCTATTAAACTGTAATATTCACTACAATAACTAATTTTATAATGGACTCAGTGGAGAAACAAAAATATCTTATTATATTACTTCATTTTCATTATTACAAGATTCACTACAACGGTGTTTACATCTATACCGAACTTAAACTTTTGAAGCGCCAACCTTCATATTGTATTTGTTTTTATATGTTACAAATGTAACTATTAGAATTAGGAGTACGTAATGTACGAAAGGGCATGTCCCGTTATGTTTCAAATAAAAAAACAAATACAACATTAGATTAGAAAACAAACAAACTTAGGTTAAAAGGCAAAGGAAAACATACTTTTCTCTGCTAAAAGTACCTCAGATGGAACTTTCCTTTTAGAAAAACGTTAATGGATATCTAATAATGCAAAAAAGTGAAATTTGAAAAAAAATCCGAGTTGAGCCCTTTTCGAAATTGACGATTCAATTGATTTTTCATTTTGTACATAAAGTTTTCTATCCTGTTTTCCATTTTCATGCTAATACTAATTTTTCACTCGAAATTAATAAAACAGCAAAAAATATTTCTTCTCCATAATTGTTCTTTCTCTTTTACAACTGACAGGTATGTAGAACCATCATCTGCGTTTATAAACTAGAAAAATTTGCAAACAATAGACATTTGCTTACATTTTTACGTACAAACGTAAAAAAATAGTTTTTTCAAGATTTTGTTTTGGGATGGATACGGAAATTCGTTTTATTTTAATATAGGAATCTGGGACAATTTTACTGTCTGAAAATTTGGAAAATAAAAGCCGAAATCCTACAAGTTTTCGTTGACTGAAGTTGGATCCATTTTTGTATAACTTTACGGGGCTTGAGGAGGGGTGTGACTACTGTGTTTGTAGACTACTTTCTTGACAAAAGTCCTATGCAATGAACTAACGGTTAATATTGAAATCCCAAAGTCTCATATTAATAATAGTTTTGATCTTATCAAAAAAACTTGATAATCTGACCATAACGGATGATTACGTTCTAATGTCTCTTGATGTGTAATTACTGTTTAGTAAAGTACCTCTTAATCTACGAGAAAAAATTTCTGGAGCAGCATCTGTACGTTATGGTACACTAAATAATTCTCCCATTTTGCCATGTTTTGCTGACATTCTAATGGATGATTTGGAAAGTGATTGTTTGAATGTTTCAAAAAAAATATTATTGTGTTCCATTGTTTTACTACAGATATTTTGACGATACGATCATTTGCTAGACACCTAAACCCATTTAACTCTAATAATAACAATTTACTTACAAACTTCAAATGGATAATCAAATTAATTTCTTAGGAGTTACATTACTTCTTAAAAATAATGAAATTTCAAACAATTGGTACAATAAATAAACTAAAACAAAAACCTCATTAGGTAGATTTATCAATTACTTTTCAAAACATCCAATCAGTGTGAAGGGAAAGTGAGGTGATAAGAATATGGTTGATAGAGAAGCGAAGTAAAAGTGGGGTGAAGTTGAGATAAAATTACAGAATAGCAACTCGGACGTTTAACATTTAGCTTCGATTTTAGAGAAAGATTGAACGCGGTTAACCTGCCAGATCATCACTTTTGACTTTAATTACTATTGAATTACCTACGTACGAAATTTCAGCCTTGTGCTAAATACCTTAGTCAAATAGACCGCTAGCTCTTGGACTAAAAGAAAGAAATAAATATCTTGGTGGAAATTTTTAAAATTAACAAAATCGTCAGGGTATAACAAAGTTTTTGGCTTGTTGTAATAATTTTTTTCTTTGTACTTTATGGGGTTCAATTTTATTTACGGATTTAGAAACAATGATGTTAAAATTTTTCATAATTCTTGTGAGAGTTTTTGAAAATTTATTCACATATGAATGGAGATAACTTTTTAGAAATCTAAATCGACTTTCTGTCTAACTTCGATTCTCAACTCTTTTGCTTATATACTTATGTAAAAAGATAGAGTTGGATTCCCCTTTTCTTGTAAAGTATTGAAAACTGTATTTACAGTAGAATCCGTTTGTAATAACTCCGCTTACATTGACCAACCGGTTACAGTGACAACATTTTGATGAAAAGTTTGGTCTTATAACAATTTCAATGTATCTAAGTCTGCTTATAATGACATTGCTAATGTTATATTTTGATTCAACGGAAAATTTTATGTAAAATTATGTAGAGGCAAATGTATGAATTGGAAGAACGTTTAATGGAAAATTTTGAAAAGGTTGCAGGAAGTGAGAATGTGTCTATGCAGATACAAATGGAGGAACTATCGAGGCGAGTGGATGTCATGGATCATGGAAAGAGATAAAAAAAAGAATGTTGTGATTAGGGGTATGAATGTAAGTCCAATGGAGGGTAAAGGTTTGCGTGGGTTGAGGGTCAGTGTAAGTGTTAAAATGGTACAAGCGATAGGAATGGGTGAGAATGGTGTAGCAAAGTTATGGTTGGTGGAGTTGGGTAGTGAGGAGGAGAAAAAGGATGTGATGAGGCTAAAAACGATGTTGAAGGGAAGTGTGATAAGAATTGATGAGGATAGAACGTGGAGAGAAAGAAGAATTATATGGCTGTTGAAGGAGAAAGCATGGAATGAAAGAAGGAATGGAAGAGTGGTACGAATGGGTAAAGAATGTATTGGGATAGTTGGGAAGGGATTGTGTGAGGGAAGATACTGGTAGAGTAATACAGGTAAGGGTGAATGATAGTTTGATGATTTGGGAATAAATTAAAAAGTGAACCTACCACTCTTGATTGAACGACATCTTTGATTCCGGTGATGAGTTCCCCCAAGAAGTCGTCTTCCTTTTGCCTAGGAACCATTTGTAGTTCCCCACTGCCCAGAGGACGGAAACTAATTTTATTGGGCGGTGGCAGTGAGATCTGGTCCTGGGAATGAGAAAGACCCTGACTCGACAACGGTGAGTTGCTAGGTGATTCCTCGGACGGTGGACTCTGAAGTGTGTACTTATTGAAAGTGACGCTTTTCGATAATTTCGAGTGTCTTGCCGCGTAGCCCTCTATCGTTGGGGCACGCATCAATCTTCGAAATTCTGCCGTTGCCCTTTCTCTGTCTGGTGTACTCGTCACCGATACCTCCGAACTTCCAGTTCTACTCTCAGCTGATAATTTCTTGAGAATACTTTTTAAATTTCTTCGTTCGAGTGTCTCGTTCTCCGGTGATAATTGATCTGGTGATGATATTGCACGACGATATCTATTTAATTTTGCCAATTTTCTTGCATATTCAATGGCACATGCCTCGGAGTGACTTCGAGTTAAGTTCCCATCGAAACCAATTTCGGCCAATTCACCACAATCTAAACTTGAACTTCTCACTGCCTTCTCGAGTTCGGCTAATTTTTGTCTCTCGTTTAGAATCTTGAGTTTTTTGACGAAAGGTAGACCGCAATATTCAGGTGAGAGATCATCAACGGAGGCGTACATTTTTGTTTGCTGTCGAATGTGGGTCAGACTTTGTTTTAATTGAATCCGCCTTGCGGGTGGACTCTTCTGAGGGGACATGTCCTTGGTGGTCAAGGAAGCGTCCTTCAGCAGATGCCATGGCTTTTTCGATACGCCATAATCGGCTGAGGTGGCAGCGTCCTTGGCGACCTCGGACAAATCCGAACTCGACGATTGTTTCTGTTCAAGTTCACTTTCCTCGATAATTGGTTTTGTCAGGAGTGGCTCCTTGACGATAATTTCCCGCTCGCCGAGAGCCTCGTTGTCACTTTTCGATTTGAGCATTAGAATTCTCTGCAAGAGGGGAACATTCTGAGTGGGTGGTGGTTGTGAATCGATGGTAGATTGAGATTGTTCCACGATTTGATTTGGTATTTCCATGAGGACACGTTTCTCCTCACGGTCCTGCTTCTCCTTGAGGAGTCGGAGTCGCGACAGTAATGGGAGTCCAGCGCCAAGAGGCGAAATCGGAGGTTCGGAAATAATCGTTATCTCTTGACTGTCATCGACTTTGTGTTGTCGTCTCAAGGGAGCCATTCTACTCGTCAGTGGTTGAAGTTCCAGACTCTCGTCGGGTCTCGTGTTTCGTCGACTCTTCCGCAAAACGTTCTTTAATCCTTTCACATCGCACTTGAGCTTATCGACTATTCTTTTGCCAGTGCTATTGTCCGATGAATCGTGTCCCGGCGATGCTGGTTGTCGAAAAGCCCTCGCTACCCTCTGTGCTTCCAATAGTCGTTTCCGACCCAAGTTTTGAAGAATTTCTTGAGCTTCCGGATAGTCTTTCATTGCCGCCAGAACGTCCTCTCGTGATAGGCTGAATAATTCCGAGTAGCCAACCGATCGCACGTCAGCTGTTCGTCTGTAGATGCAAAATAAAAACAATTTTTTAGATTCCATGAATTTTTAACAAATATGTTTACTCTAAACTATTTGCTCACTTGTTCAATCCATCGAGATTCAGTATTCCAATTTCGCCAAAAAAGTCCCCGGCTTTCATGGTTGTGAGTACTCGGCCAGTTTCACTGATTACTTCCAATATTCCATCAGCTATTATAAACATTTCTCGTGCAACTTCTCCTTTACGACATATCGAATCGCCCGGGGTGAAAATGTAGGCTTTCATCTTTAAAACTAGGTCATGCAAAAATTCTGGTTGACATTCCTATAATAAAAAAGAAATTGCACATTATACCTTGGAAGAAATATTTTCTAAATCTGTAAAAAGACATAAATGATGCTAATGTCATTAAAAATTTATAGTTCAACAAATATGAAAAAATTTTGTCATCTAATTATGATTCGAAAAATAATTAAATGTATTCTTACAGTGAAACAATTAATGGAAGCAAAAAATTAATGCTTGCAGTATTTTTCTGCGATTCGAAACGTCGGATTTTTTTTATTCTTCTTGGGATCAGTGGAAAGCTAACGCAACTGAGTCAACGATAAATTGGAGGAATCGTTGGTTGAAAATTTTTCTTCACAAGGTACGACTTTTTTTTGTAATATCTTGGGAACCCTTTGATATTATTTGTTGTTTTTGTTCTCTATTTAAAGCTTAGATTACAAGAAATAGTCTGTAAAAGTAACAATTCTTTTCATCAACTTTTCCATATTTTGCCAGGAGTTAAAGCTAATTAGATTAGAAGATTCGGGGCTCGAACTAAGTCCGTAGATCCCATAAAGGTCCGTAAATATGCTTGAAGTCCGTAAAAGTCATTTTTTTAAAAACAATGGTCTGTAAAGACCGTAATTTGATTGAAAAAAAGCAAGAAAAATTCGTAAATTGTACCATATAATTTGGATTCAATTATGTTCAAAAACTTAAAAAAAAATTCTCTTAAAAATTTCAATTATCTTTATAATAATTCAATTATTTTCATAAATAATATAACATTTTTACAGGGATTCAATTATTTTCGAAAATAATAAAATTCGTTTTAGGAATTCAATTATTTTCGTAAATAATAAAATTTCCACATAAATTTCATTATTTTAAAACAAAATTTTCACAAAATTTTTCGAAATAAATCAATTATTAAAAATAATTTTAAAAAAATTATTTGCTAGAATTCAATTATTTAAAAGAAATTTAATAAAGTTCTTCGTAAGAATTCAATTATTTTTCAAAATTTTAATAAAATTCCTGTCAAAATTTAAATTATTTAAAAATAATTTCCTGAATTTAATCATTTTCAATATCTACTATATTTTAATTAAATTTTTCAACAGAATTCAATTATTTAAAAAAAAATTCCTCGAAAAATGCAATTATTCTTAAAAATTTGATTAAAATACGTCAAAAGAATTCAATTTTTAAAAAACATTCAATTATTCAATAAATTATTTATTTTTGTATTTAAATAATTGAATTCTCGTAGAATTTTCTAATAAAAATTGTTTTAAAAATGAATTTTAGTTGAAATTTTAGATAATAATTGAATATTAAAAGCATTATAGCATGAATTTTGAAAAATAATTGAATTTTGAAAAAGTTTTAAATTTAAAATTATTAAAAATAATTTATTGAATTCTTTCGAAGAATTTTAATCAAATTTTTGAAAATAATTACATTTTTCGAACAACTTATTTAATTTGCTTAAAATTATATTAAAAATAATTGAAAACCAGCTACGAATTTTATTATTTATGAGAATAATTGAATTCTTGCAACGAAATTTTATTACATTTTTTTAAATAATTGAAATCCTGTTAAGAATTTTATTATTTAAAAGAATAATTGAATTCTTGTAACGAATTTTTATTATATTTTTTTAAATAATTAAAATCCTGTAAAGAATTTTATTATTTAAGAGAATAATTGAATTCTTGTAACGATTTTTTATTATATTTTTTTTTTAAATAATTGAAATCCTGTAAAGAATGTTATTATTCATAAAAATAATTAAAATTAAATTCTTGCAACGAATTTCATTATTTGTGAAATTTTAATTGAATTCTTGCAAAGAATTTTTGAAAATAATTACATTTTTTGAGGAATTTATTAAAAATTGTATTAAAAATAATTAAAATCCCATAAAAAATTTTATTAATTATGAAAATAATTGAATTCTTACAAGGAATTTTATTACATTTTTTTAAATAATTGAATTCATGTGAAAAATGTTATTACTTGTAAAAATAAATGAATTCTGGCGAAGGATATTATTAAAATTTTTGTAAATAATTTAATTTTTTTTTCAAAATGTTATAGAAATTTAAATTATTATAAAACATGAAGATGATATTAATCACTCTGAGTCGAAGACTCGGAGTGATCGATATCTTCATGTTTTGTAATAATATTCTTATAAGTTATTTAAAATAATTGATCACCAGGAATTCAATTATTTATAAATTTGTTCGCGATAATTTCATTATTTTCATAAATAATAAAATTCTTTTTAGGGATTTAATTTTTTTTTTTTTATAAATAATAAAACTCATTGCAGAAGTTCAATTATTTTTAATACAATTTTAATCGAATTCGTCGAAAAATGTAATTTTTCGATGAATCAATTTCGATGAATGAAATTTTGTAAAAATTTTATTAATAATTCTAGAATATATAATAATTGAAAGGAAATAATTTTGAAGAAGTTACAGTAACAATATTCTTATAATATAAAATAATGATTTTATCACTGGGCCATCTTTAATTATTATAAAACATGAAGAAATTTAATTTATAGTTTTAAGTAAAATGTTCTCTTATTTGACTCAAACTGTTTATATTTTTGTAATTGGTAGCAGGTCCGTAAATGGTCCCTAATTTTTAATTTTTGGTCCTTAAAGTCTCCGTATTTTTAAATACTTTCACTGGTTGGAGCTCTGAGGATTTTTTTGGAACAACTAGGGTCACATAGTCAAGGTTGGACCACCGCGATTTTTTATTATAAGAACATTAGCGTTGCCTATGTAGTTCAGACAAACTTTTTTTGCGGACTGTTGCGGTCAACGGACATAATATTTTTTTATGTCAACAATAATAGCAAAATTTCTAAATTAAATGTAAAATTCTGAAATACTTTTTTCAGCATAAGATTAATATTGCACTGGTTGCATGATGGATGCATTTGAAGATAAAGTTATACAATATGGTGCATCTAGAGATGGATTATCAGGTCAGAGCATGTTGTATTGTAGAATCGGTTCAATGGACCTTATTTTCTTTGAAAAGATATTATATACTTTACATAAATGTAGGTCAGTGGCTCCTTGACGGATATATCAATTTAATATCGATATAGAGAAATGGGAAAAAAAGAGGATTTCACATTTTAATGTCAATCACCAATTAGTTTTGACAAGCCTTGGCTTTTAATTGCTTTTTTTTCTCTCCACAGAAAAAGCAAGAGCTTAATCAGCATTTTTAATTAAAGATTTCTTTATCACTACCTTGACATTTCTTTGTATTTTTTACATTTTTACATTTTTACATTTACAAGTCAATTTTCACCTATGTAATTTTTATTTTTTTTTCAAAATCTTTAATCGTAAAAAATCATGTTTTCGTTTCTTTTTCTATTGTTATATTTACATTCAATGGAGAGAAAATTTATTATGTAAATGTAAAACATTTATTAAAATTAATTGGCAAAAATAATTAAATAAAGACGAGGGATAAAGAAATTTGCAATTTTTTTTATAAATACTTTGTAGTGAATTTTTTCTTTAGTTTATAAACACATGTAAAGAATTTTATAAAATCGGTATTTCTAGCAAATTTATTAATATTAAAGAAAAAATCAATCTTTCAAGAATCTTCTCGAGTATAAAAGCCTCGAAGTTTGAATATTTTTAGATCCTGGGTCATGTGAAAAGAAAAAAGGTCTCTCTCGTTAAATTGTAAACTGGGATTTCATCGAAAAACTTTTTTTTTGACTTGTTAGTCAAAAACTTTTTGACAAAAAATTTATTTTTACAAAAATTCTATTTTTCGTAAAATTTTAGTTTTATATCATTCTTTTTTCATTATTTTCTATTTCTAATCGACTAAAGCGACTTTTTTTGCTCGTTAATGTCGATCCGAGGCATGTAAAAAGGTTATTTAAACTTTAGTAACACGAGAAAAAGAAAAAATTGCATATAAATAAAAAAAAAAAATTTTTTTAATTTAAAAAATTTCTACAAATTAAAAATACGGTTTTAGCTTAAAAAAGTTTTTTTCATACTTTGCAACAAAAAAAAAGAAGGTAAAACAAGAATAAAATAACTGGAAATAAGAATCCAGTAAGGCAGTAACGAGATAACTTGAGATGAACGTGGTAACAATGTCCCAAGGGGTGGTGGGGTGGCTGTAAAAGGGATTAGAGTCTCTTCATAAAACGATGTCGTTCAAGTATATATAATCTGTACACATCTGGTGTACACGGTTCACATACACATTTTTTTAACCCTGAATAAAAATTTGTTCTTTTCTCCTGGAAAAGAAAATTGCCCTGATAGAAATAATTAAAAATTTTTTTTGTTTCAATTATTTAAAACATTTTTTTTTTCAATTTATCCTTTAATTTGCATATCTACTCTTTTCATATAAGGATTTACTTTTATTAATTTTCTTTTTATTTTCCATTTTTTTGATTTTCTTTATTTTCTTTTTTTTATTTATATTTATTTTCTTTTTGTTTTCGATTTTTTTTATTTATTTTCTTTGTTTTTTTTAATTCTCCTTTTATTTTTGATTTATTTTTATTTACTTCCTCCTTTGATTTAGAAATGTTAAAAATAATTTTGCCTCGTGAGAAAAATGTAATTAACTTGAAAAATCATTAACTAAAATAAAGGTAAATAAAATATTGCGAAGTTTCTTCATTTTATCATTTTCACATCTGTAATTTCCTGTTCCTTCATCTATCATTTTCATTTTAGTACATCTTCATTTCTTTATCCCCCTTTACCCCACGTTGGCCTTATTTTTATCCCATTCATTTATCTTTGTTTTTTTTATTCAAACCCGAAAGCAAATTGTCGTGACCAGATCAATTTTTTATTCTCCCATTTTTATATCTTTAGTAACACTTGCCTTTTCTTTTTTTTTTGTCATTTGAATGTGTAAAGATCAGTTTCCGATATTTTCTCACCCCACATTTTTTTTTTTTTTTTGGAAAAGAGGATTCCGGTGGATTTATCTTTATGTGCATTTTACACTCCGTTAGCAAATTTACAACCTTGTTTTTCCCACTTTTTCTCCACTATAACATTGAAAGCTAATTTTTTTATTCTTTTCCGTTTTTTTCGGGGAGTTTATTTTTCTAAATAAATATTATGTTTTGTGTGAAAATGATACAAAATGAAAAATCTTGCATGTTTTTAGAGAGGGAATATTTTAATGCTATACAGCAATTAAAATTTTCATAAAAAATCTTTACGATTGAAATATACATAAAATTATTTTTATTGTTATTAACATTTTTGAACAAATTAGTGTAGTTGGTAGAAAAGTTTTTAAATAATTAATCTGTTTGCAGCAGATTGCAGCAACAAACTATCAATTTGTTTTTATACTAAGAAAATGTATTATTCAAATCTAAAAACGATCATTTAACAGCATTTTTCGTTATACGTTATAGTAAAATTCATTAATTTAAAAAAAAATAAAACAAAGCAAACAAACTATCGATTTCTTTATATACTGAGAAAATGTATTATTCAAATCTAAAAACAATCATTTAACAACATTTTTCGTTATACATTATAGTAAAATTCATTAATTACAAAAAAAAAAAAAAAAAAAAAAAAAAAAAAAAAAAAAAAAAAAAAAAATTTTGTTTAAGTCCAAGAAATTTTTCTCCAAGTCGTGTGATTACGAGGTCACGTGATTGCCCTGTAAATTTAATTTCATTCAATCAAATACTGTTGATAAAAAATTGTAAATATGTTAGAAAGAAAATTAAAAGTATTTTAACAAATAATTTATAAAATATAGAACTAAAAATTATTAAACTAAATAAAAAAATTAATTTAGGTACATTTTAGGAGCAATGTATAATAAAAAGCTACATTTTATCATAAAAAAAATTTTAAAATGAATTATTTCAATACTTTTTATTAAAAATTTTTTATTGTAAATTTTTTCTGTTGCTTTGAAAATTAGAATTTATAATATTAAAATTTCTATTTTAACACATTGTAATTTAATTAAAAGACTCTGTTATAAAATTAAACTATTTGTTACAGTAAAAAATACTAAAAGAATTTCTAAAAAACAGTGAAAAATAAAAATAAGTAATAAAATATTTATTGCGAACTTAAAAATAATGAATAACATTTTTTTTCTTATTTATTAAGGCAACATTTTTTTCTAAAATTTTAGTGCTTAAGTTTTGGAGAATTTTAAAAATTATTATTTTCCTTATTTGTCGACGATTTTTCGATAATTCAGAATTAGAGAAAGAGCGAGAGAGACAGAGAAGTTAATCCCTTATTGTAAACAAGAAAGTTAATGACCTTCGTTATATTGTTGGGAGAATTCATTTCAAAATTGCAATGTTTATATAGAAAGGTAAATTTAAAATTTATTAGAAAAAAATTTTAAATATTTCATGATAAGTTGTTATTACAGAAAAAAATTCGTTAAAATGAATAAAAATAATAATAATAATGGTGATTATGCAGTTAAAAATGAGAAACTAGTAATAATTAAAAAATTAAATAATAAATTAAGAATAAAAATTGTTGTTATTTATTTATTATTAACAATTAAATCAAAATAGAAATCAGTAAAAATTTTTACTTTTTTAATTAATTAATTATTTATTTCATTCTTAATTAATTTTTCTTGTAAAATTTCAAATTTTATTAGTGATTATTGAATAGTTTAATTTTTTTCTCTTAAAATTTTATTAGAAAATTATTGAAAATTTCAAAAATTATTTACTTTTAACATTAGTCGACGACTTTCAATAATTCAGAATTAGAGGGAAAAGTTAATCCCTTATTGTAAACAAGAGAGTTGACCCTCGGCATTGTTAACAGAAATTGTTTTCTATCCGTTCTTGTCTATACTTTCTTCAACGACAATAAAAGTACGAAATCAAAATTGAGCCCCTTCCCCTTCTTTGCTTTCCTTTGTGGATTACTTTTGCCTTCTACCTCTGCGTCACAGTTCATTGACCTCCCTTGGTGGGGCAACTAGTCATGAAAATTTTTATTTCTCCAAATAACTAAATTTTAATTATTATTTCTAATAGTTTTTATAAATTAAGTGCCTCGAATAATCAAATAAAAATTTTTTTTTATCAAATAGAAAATGCAAGGATTCTCTAAACTGCAACCCATTCTCAAGAAGAGGAAATTCAGTTAAACTCTCTTGATGGTCGTTTACAAAATACGAGTAAGTACAAAAGCATAACTCATTTTTTTTAAATAATAAATTTATTATTTATTATTAATATTATTTAGTTCATAATTTTATTAGTTTTTTATTGTTATTAGTAAAAAAAACAATTGATTTGTAATTTATTTATTTGTAGAGATAGTAGAGAAATTAAATAACTTTAATTCAATAATATTTATTGCCTATCAATAATTAGGGATTAATTAAAAAATTGTTATTGTATAAAAAATGTCTTAAAAACAATAAATATGTGATTAGAAGTTTATATACAGAGTTCTGTCTAGAGATTCCTGCACCGACATTTACCGACATTTTTTTGTTCAGACTCAAATCATGGTCTATGGTTTGAGTCTGGGCTAAAAAGTGTCGGTAAATGTCGGTGTAGGAATCTTTAGATAGAACTCTTCCTTTATATCTACAATTATTAGTATTAATAAATAACTTTTTGGTAATAGCAATTTCCTAATTAACATAAATTTTTTGCAGAGATATTTTTTCTCTACAGTCATCATGTGGGGAACATCGAGAAATCTTGAAAATCTCACTTAGTGCACAACTTTCATTATATTGTAAATATTTTTCGTCGAGTGCAACGAATAATTTTTGTATTTTTCGTGATACAGAAAAAATTGTAATTTGAATTATTTAGCAAGGGAATTTAAAAGAAAAAAAATGTAATTATATTAGCTAGGAAATTAGAAAATTAAGTTTTAGTTTTAGGCAAGAAAAAGTAATTTTTATTCAGAAGAAAAATCAATAAGCAAAAACTTTATAGCAACATTCACTAAAGAAGAGGGGTAAGTGAAACATATACAATATTTTTAATTTCCTTTAAACCTACATCCAGAAAAATGTTTCATTTAACGGCAAAATTATTTTTAATCTAATTTCATTCATTACTAAAAAAAAGTTAAATTAATAATTAGTAATCACTCTTGATTTTAAATAGTTTAAAATGATTTTTTATTTTTTTCTAAATGTATTTATTTATTAAAATTAAAAAATATTAACTTTAAAAAAAATATATTATGATCAGAAGAATTAAAAAGTTTTTATCGTCTTTTTATTAACTTCAAAAAGTTTAAAAATTAAATTTTTTGAAAATTCTATTAAATAATAATTTGTATAGTTCTATACAAGATTGTACAGTTAAAAATGGAAAAGCTTAGAACATAATTTTGATAAAAATAACATTTGAAGAAACCGCTTTTAATCTTTCGTTGACAAACTGTTTTATTTTTACTCTAAATGAGAAGTAATTCATTTCAAATTTAATAAACATAAAAGTTTTAAATTAAATTTTTTTTATTGATTAAAATTTTTTTGAATTAAAATATTTTCCTCTTATTTCACTAAAAATTAAAAGTCTTAATTTCAATTCTTGTTGTAAATATTAATTATTTTATTAATTTTTCTTTCAAAAGATCACCTGATGTTTTATTAAATATCGTGATAATGAAGTTGATTCCAATTGACCCAGTGTGATAGTGACGTGGCTTTTTTTATTAATAATAAAAATAAAGAATTATGTGCGTCAACGGAAGGTTAATAAAAACAGAAGATATCTGGATGTAGGTTATAAATTAAATAGTAGTCAGTACTAGTTATGAACCAATTACTGCCATTTTGTAAAAAAAGTTTTTATTTGTATTAATTAAAAATGTAGAACTTTTAATAATGTTGACAAACATTTTTCTTCAATCTTGTGTTAAAATCGATGTAAAAAAAGCTCAGTGTAAAAATTGCATCTACTTTGACATCCCTTAGCATGAAATTTGAAATTATTCTCAATACTTTGATATTTTAATTTTTTAATTATTTTTTATCTACTGCATATACGGCAGTAATTGGTACACTTAACTTAATGGGTGAGCAAAAGACCTGTTTTATTTCTAAAAAATCTCTTTCTTTGTGAAATACAATCTCAATATAGCTCAGGTTACTTAAGTGCAAGATTATCTTAAATTTTCCACTCCTTGATTAACAACTCTGATGTACTGTTACCAGGGGGTCGATTACGTAAATTGATTTGATTTTTATTTGACTTTGACTTTCAAGCGCATTTCAATTTTTGTTACTAGACACGTGTTCTTTACTGACAATTCATATTGTAAATAAATAAAAATACCCCCAGTAAAGTAAATAAATATTAAATAATTAAAACAATTATTGAGTAATAATTAATTATTATCAGTTTATTATTCAAATACCCCCCCCCAGTACTTTACTAATTACTTAATTAATTAATAGTAGGTACTACTAATTGAGTAACAATTAATTATTATTAGTTTATTATTAAAATACCCCCCGTACTTCACTAAATCATTTTTAATGAAGAAGAAAAGAAAACTTTTTACTTGAAAAATGCAACGAAAGTTAAAGAAAAATTTCAATATTTACCGTTTTTTTTACTCTGCATTTATTCTCCACAAATAATTAATATTTTATTTTATAAAATTTATTTCTAAATTCTTTTTATCATCGACTCCCAAGTAGTTCATATGCCCTTCTCTCTAAATTTGAATTAAGGAAAATTTTTACTGATTTGAATTATTGTCGTCACATTTTTGCTTTTGAATTAATAAAAAATAGTAATTTCTACTAATTTATTAGTAAACTTTACTAATTCAAAAGCAAAAAGCGAGTTACTAATTCTAACTAGTAAACAATTTTATTTATTTAAAGTAGTTCATATGCCCTTCTCTCTAAATTTGAATTAAGGAAAATTTTTACTGATTTGAATTATTGTCGTCACATTTTTGCTTTTGAATTAGTAAAAAATGGTAATTTCTACTAATTTATTAGTAAACTTTACTAATTCAAAAGCAAAAAGCGAGTTACTAATTCTAACTAGTAAACAATTTTATTTATTTAAATTTAGAGTGTATACTTTTGTTTAAAGTCATGTGAAACAAAAAATATTTATTTGATAATTGTCGGTAATTCTAAGGCGGGAATTAAAATTAAAATATAAAATGAAAAATCAATTGCTAATTTTTTAAGAATATAAAAAATTTTAATAATATATTTTTGGTATCATTCAATTACAAGTTTGGTTATTATTACATTTTTTACATTCGACTTAAAATCTAAGTAATACAATTTATTTGTTAATAGATAAATATTAAAATTGAAGAGATAAAGTAAAATATATTAAAGTAAACAAATATCTTTATTAATTCTTGCACGTAGGTAACTTGTAGATAAAAATCCTCTATCATCCTTTTTTTTCACCTCGGTTCTGAGTCTGCCTTTTATAGTCTGCTTTTATTTCTGAAACCCTTTTTCTTCACCTAGTTCCGAGTCTTCTTTCATTACTTTCGTTCCTGAAATCCTTCACCTGGTTCTGAGTCTTCTTTTATTACTTTCATTCCTGAAACAAAAACAGGTCTTCTATTCCCTTCATTTGTAAAGTACTACACTCTAAATCTGAATCAGTGAAAATTTCACTGATTTCAATTCAGTGGCCCAGTTTTCTTTAATTCATCAGTGGGATTTCACTGAGAATCAGTAAAAACCACTCAGTGAAATTCCACTGACAAAGAAAACTGGGCCACTGAATTGAAATCAGTGAAATTTTCACTGATTCAGATTTAGAGTGTAGACTTCATTCCCCAAGGAGAGAAACTTTCCACTTTACTCTCTAGGGAGAAAAGGAAGCGATTTTAAGTTGTGGTCGCTCTACTACTTAGAGAGAAAAGTTTGGGGTTAAAGTGGAGTCGTTTTAGTTTCCAAGGAGAGAAAGGGACTTTCTCTCTCTCTATTTTCTGCAATTGGTGGAGAGAAAGTATGAGTCACTTCATCTCTGGAGGGGGAAAAAGCGACTCCTTACCTTTCCTTGAATTCTCTCTATTTCCATCCCCTACTTGCTCCCCATTTCCATCCCCCTCCTCCAAGTAGGGTTTTGGCGACTACCCCTACTTGGGAAAAACTAAAGTCGTCCTCAAGGAGATATACTTCGTTCTCCTTGAGATGGAAGTGGGAGAGATCAGGTTTTCTCCCCTTCTCAAAAAGAAGTCCAACTGAACGAGAGTGACAACGCCCACTCGTTCGGAAAACTTCGTAGAAAATATTACGTAAATACGTAACGTACGTAAATTACTGACAATTACTGACGCAAGTAAGTAAAAAAAATACTTATGTAAGTTACGTAAGTAAAAAATTTAAATTTAGTTAAATTAAGTTTTTACGTAATAATAAGTAACTTACGTAAAAAAATAATACGTAACAAATTTTTTTTTACTTTCTTAGGTAAGAGGATTTGGTGGGAAAAAGGTAAGAAAGATTAGGAGATAGAAGAAGGGTGGGGATGAGAAGGAGGTGGGAGGAAGGGAAAGCAAGTTAGTGGGTGGAAGGGAAAGAAACTTCAGTGGACGACTGAGTCTTCCTTGGTGAAGGACTTACTTTTATAGTCTTTCTCCAAGGAAGAGGGGGAGAACTGGTGGGAAGGGTGGGGATGAGAAAGAGGTGGGAGGAAGGGAAAGGAAGTTAGTGGGTGGAAGGGAAAGGAACTTCATTGGACGACTGAGTCTTGCTTGGTGAAGGACTTACTTTTATAGTCTTTCTCCAAGGAAGAGGGGGAAAACTGGTGGGAATGAGAAAGAGGTGGGAGGAAGGGAAAGGAAGTTAGTGAGAGGAGGGGAAAGGAAGTTCCCAAGTTCACTTGGAACTTGGAAGTCAGTGGACGACTAGTCTTCCTTGGTGAAGGTCTTACTTTTATAGTCTTTCTCCAAGGAAGAGGGGGAGAACTTCACCCTGCTCTCGGATTGGTCAACAGAGAGACTAGTCGATCCCCTAGGGAAAGAAGACGACCTCTTATTCGCCAAGAGTAAAACAAATTTCTCCTCATAGTGGAGAAATTCCCCTACTCCCCAGAAAATAAACCAAGTGCGTTTTCCCTCCCTAGGGGAGACTGAAATAGAAGTATCACTGAAAAAATTACATTCTAAATTTAAGAAAATCTACTTAACGCCAAGAATATTATTCTTTAAATTATATTTAAACTAAAAGAATATTATTCTTATTGTAAGAATATTTCCACTTATTTAAGTGACGAATATTTAAGTTGATTTTTCTTAAATTTAGAATGTAATTTTTTCAGTGGCAGATAAGAAAAACAAAAAAAGGACAGAAGAAAAGATTTGTAAAGTTGCTGAAGAAAGAAAAGTAGTGAAACAAAAAACATTCGACTTTTCGTTTTCAAATTATCATTTTAACTGATCCAAATTTAGAATTTTAATTTTTTTTAAATTCTCGAATATTTAAAATAAATTAGTAAGCTAAATTTTGAAAAACTATTGTAAATTATATAATGAAGATGAGCAATCCTACTGAAGAATTTTTATCTGCAAGTTAACCTATGTGCAAGGATTAAGAATTTTTATCTGCAAGTTAACCTATGTGCAAGGATTAATAAAGTTATTCTCTTTGTTTCGGAGAAACGCCTGAACTTTATCTAATGGCAATGAAAACATTATGTGATACTGTATAATTTTATAAATATACTTGAAGTTAATAAAAAAAATTGCAATTGACTTTTTTTATTTTCCCTCTCTTTAGAATTTAATTAACCTTCGCGCTATCGACATTTATTATAGGGGTACTCAGCAGTATTTAATTCTGTAAAGTCTGTTTTGTACCAAATTAATCGCAGATTTAGTTAAGAACCAAATTTTTAATAGTTTATTCATTGACTTAAAATCTGCGATTTTGAAAATTTTTAAGCATTATTCTGCAGATATACTTTGTCCATATTCAGAAAATCAATTATGTAAATAATTTATAAATTAATTTACTTCAGTGAAGCAATTTTAATGAACCAATTAAAAATTAATTTATCTTATTTTAATCAAGAACGTTAGTATTTGTAAAAAAATAAAAAATTGCACAGTATGATTATAATTATTATTATTAACAATAGGTAAAATATTTATAAGAAAATAGCGAAATCTAATTTTTCAAAATTTCCTCAAATTCGCTTGAAATTTCATACCAAGGGATTTTTGGGGTCGCTGATTAGGAAACTAAAGTGAGATTTCCAAAATTAAAAATAGTAGACATTTTTTAAATTCTGCCTAAATTTGCTTGAAACTTATTATTCGGGGGTTTTCGAGGTCACCATTTTGAATTTTTTAAATGTTACTTCAGATTCGTAATCAGCGACCCCGAAAACCCCCGAGTAAACAAACTTTATGCAAATTTCAGCAGTTTTGAGAAAAATGTACGCCATATTGGATCCGCCATTTTGAATTTTCAAAAGTTTGAAAATCTGACTGGGTTTTTTGGGGGTCACGAAAGGGTTAAATAAATTACATTATACTTGATGAATTGAGGACTTTTTTAAAATCTACAAATAAGAAATCATTTTTGGCTACTCTGAATAACCCGTGGTAGTCCGCGTACATAATAAATAATTCAATAGCGTGAAGGTTAAGAAAAAAGTAATTTTATTTCAAGACAATGTAAAAATGGAATTAAGATTTTAACTTTCAATGTTTTGATACGCTTTTTGTCTCAATTTGTTAGTCTTTTAAAATCAGTGAAATTAATATTAAACATAAAAATAATTCATTCTAATAGTAATAACTTTGCAAATTTTTGCTATCTCCATTATATTCTAAATAATTATTTCGAACTTTAATTTATTACTGTTTAATAATTTAATTAATAAATTTAATTTATTATTATTTTTTAAAAAAAGATTGACAATAACGAAAAGAAAATTAGGTCTCAGCAAAGAATATAAAAAATCATTATTCTTTTGATTGTAAAAAAGAATTAACTTTCCTTTCTAATTTTGAATTGTCGAAAAGTCGTCGATTAATAAAATTTATAATCTCTAAAATTTTAAGAATTTAAAAAAATTTAAAAGTAAGGTACATCGATATTTTAAAACTTGTACTTATATCAGGAAAAAAATATGATAAAATTATGATCTGAAATTAGTTAGAGAATGAAACAAATGAATTTTTAAATAAAAAATATTGAATAATAATGGTATTTTTTACCATTTTCAGTATAAAAACAAAGACTTTTTTTAAATGCTATAAACATTAGAAAAATCAATTTTTACATTTGACAATTTTTTTGGGGATTGAAAAATATATATTCTACAAAATTACTCATGAATTTCAAAATCCACCAATTTTCAAGGGGTTATGACACTCTAGGATTTTCAAAAAATCGATTTTTTCTTTTTTGCTTTAAATGGTCCCTTGGAGTCTCAAATGTAACATATTGAAAGATTATGGACTGTAATAAGGAATAAGAAACAATTCTCATAATTATGATATTTCAAAATTTACAGGAACAAATGGTGCGGCCACGGACCCTTCACGCCAAAAATCAGCGTCAGCGCCACAAATTTCAATAAAATTTTATAATATTTATATTTTTACACTTTAATAAATGTACAATAAAGTCCTCAGATCATAATTGTGATTGCCTTCGTAGTTTGCTTTAAAAAAATTCTCAAAAACACCTATTTTTTCGACCTCTATAGAGTGTCATAACCCTTTAAGTAAAATAAAAAATTATTATATAATATTATTTTTTGACCATTGAATTCCTCATAAAAATTACCTTAAAAATAATTTTGTGGAATATTTAAATTATTTTCTTGATATAATTAAAAATACCAATGTACCCACCCCTTAAATGAGAAATAAAGTAAATAGAGAATTACAATAAAGAATTAAGTTTCCTCTCTAAATTTAAATTACGAAAAGTCGTCGATTAATGAAATTTATAATTTCTAAAATTTTTAGTACTTTTAAAATAAAATTATGAGAAAACAGTAAATAGAAACAAAATAGAGTGAAAATAAAATTCCAAAATATAAGAAAATGAAGAGAAAATAAAATATTAGTGTCTTTTGACTTACCCCTCTTCTTCGACGTATGATGTTGAAGCTTCTTCGAGAATTTAAATTATTTACACTTTCTTAAATCTACGAAATAATTTTCAAATTTCCTAGCTAATATAATTGCATTTTTTTTTTTTTTGAAATGCCTAGCTAAATAATTTACATTATTATTTCACAAGTTTTTTCAAACTTAAGAAATATTCGTAGCAGTCGGCGAAGAATATCCTAATATAATAAAAGCTAAGTCTTAATGAAGTTTCGAAAAATCTCCGGGGTAATTTACAATCATTCTGCGGCGTCTTCTTGATGTTTTTCTTTTGACCTCTTCCTGGAAACTGTGAAGAAATCCATCACGTGTAATGTTAGGTGACATTTTGCTGTAAAAATTGGAGTTAATTAGAAAATTATAAAATATTATAGAAAATTAAAAAATTAAAATTGTTATATTTTCTTAATTTTTTTTCTATTAGAAGTAATTTTTTAAGAATAAAAGAAATTTATGTACTTATGTTACAAACAGTTTATTTTTTAACTGTTTTTTTTAAATTCTTTATTAATTTATTCCTTCTATTAATTAATAATTAATCAGTAATTAATATTGAAAAGAAAGCCAAGGAGTAATAACCAAAGAATTTGATTTATTAAATCTGATAACAAATTTATTGGAAATTAAAGAGCCATTAATTTTAATTTGCAAAAATCAATAGAACCTCAATTTGTAACTATTACGACACGTGCTCACGTTTATGGTAATTTTAATTATACACCTGAATTTCAAGTAAAATATCTAATGGAATGGAATTTTTAAAGAAAAAAAGTTTAAATAACAATGAAAATGGACTATTAATATTTATAAAAATAGCATTTTATTAATTAAAATTAAAATATTAAATAGAAAAGTATTATCCAAAACAATAATCAGAAAATTAAAACAATAACGTCACTTCATTGTTCACATTTTCTATCTAAATAAATTACAATTGGAATAAATGAAACAAATATATTTAAAATTAATAATTTTATTAATCAATAAGGAGACGCTATTCTCCACTTGCAAACGCCAAGGTCACTGCCAGATGGCAGTTCAGTTGATAAAATCAGTTTCCACGCCACCTGGTGATGATCTCGACGTTCTCAAGTGGAGAAATTAAACACTTATTAAAAAAATTCTCTGATAGTTAAAAACTGTTATTTTGAAAAGAATTTAATTTTTTCCATTAAAAACTATGATCTAATTTATTTAAAATTAATACAAATATAAATAAATTAAATATAATGGACAAAAAATAATTTCGCCAATAAAATGAAAAGCAAATTGTGAATAAAACGAATTATCATTTTCTTTTACCTTACAACACATCTTTTAAATATTAAAAAAAGAAATTATTTGTCATCATTTGTGGAAGGAAAAATATTTAAATATAATTTTTAATTAGTAAAAGAAAAAAAAGAAAAATTTTTTAAAATATTTTCTGGGACTTACTCATGATACATCTAATCAAGGAAGATCCAAAAATCGAAACAATTGTTTTCTTCAAAAAAATTCTTGCACACTCTTCTTGATTGAAAAATTTCAAGTATTAAACATTTTAATTTCATTTATTTTAATTTATTTTTAGTTTAATTTATTTTGTTTAATATATTTTTATTTAATTTACAGTTAAATTTCGAGTTGGAAATATTAAATAAAATTCACTTATTTGGAGAAATAACCTTTTCACGACTAGTTGCCCCACCAAAGGAGGTCAATAAACTGTGACGCTATGACAATTTTACTCAAGAAAGCAAGAAAAGAAACAAAGGGGAAGGGGCTCAATTTTGATTTCGTACTTTTATTATCGTTGAAGAAAAAGATAGACAAGGACGGAAAGAAAACAATTCCTGTTAACAATGCCGAGGGTCGTTAACTCTCTTATTTACAATAAGGGATTAACTGTTCCCTCTAATTCTAAGTCATTGAAAGTCGTCGACAAATTTGTCAATTTCTAATTTCTCTTTTAATTTTCAACTCAAATATTAAGAGAAAATATTAAAACTACATATTTAGTAGAAAAAAATAATTAAAATCTTACAAGAACAATTAGTAAATAATTGTATTTACAATTTAAAATTAAATAAAAAAATGTTTTAAAAAAATTTGAAATATTTTATTTAAAATTTTGATTTAGTTTTCAATAAAATAATTATATTAAAAAAAATTGTAAATCTTACTGTTTTATTTTAATTGCTACTAGTTTTGTATTGTTAACTATATTTCTTATTATTTTTCAGTTTTTCTAATTTTTTCTAAAATAAAATTTATTTATCTTGATTTATTTTTGGTTTTTGCTTTCTAATAAATTTTAAATTTTCTAGTTAAAGAGTTTGAAAATACTAAAATAATTCTTTGACAATGCCGAAGGTCATTAACTTTCTTGTTTACAATAAGGAAATGAATTTTCTCCCTTAATTGTTCATTGTTAAAAATTTCCAGACTAATAATAAATTAACAATTTTCAAAATTTAATAAAATTGAGCTCTTTCCTCTTATTTTTTTCTAATTAAAAATATATAAATATTATATAAATAAAGATACATAAATATTACTTTAACTAAATTTTTTTTTAATATTCAACTTACAATAATTATTTATTAAAATTTTTAAATCCAAGTTTTATTATTTCTTCTTTATAATTATTTTATTATAACTTTTTATAATTATTTTATTCTCTTATTCAATTTTTAATTAATTTTTATTCTCTCCAAGTTTGTTATTAATTAATCAATATTATAACAAGAATTAAAATAATATACAAATAAAATTTAGAAATATATGAAGATTTATCAGTAATTTTCTTATTTATCATAATTTTTATTCTCTTTTAAATTTTTTTAATAATTTTTTATTCTTTCTAACTTTATTATTAATTCATATTAATTTGTACATTTTAATTTACAACAATATTTGAAATAATATTCAAAGAAAATAAAAAAATATATGTAAAAAAAATAAATTTACACGAAAAAATGTTAAGATTTCAAAGGAATTTTTTTTTATTTACTAATAAAAATTATTAAATAAAGAAAAGTTTAAATAAGAATTATTATATTTAATAATATTAAAAAGTTGTAAACGTAAATAATAGCAATAATTATTGTAATAAATGAATCGAAACTACTTTTCAATTACTGTAATTTTGCTACTAATTAAAACTACTATTTATTAGAAATTTTTAGTATATTTTGTTATTTATTATAAAATATTTTTAATTATTTATTTCTTTTGTACTTACTCATTTATTTACCAAGGACGACCGTAGAATTTAGCAGAAACTTTTTCCTTCGAAGATGGGTTGCAGTTTGGAAAATTCTTGTAGATTCTAATCAATAAAGAAAATTTGATATTAGTTATTTGAGTCACACTTATTTTATTATTGGAAATATTTGAAATATTATTGGAAACATTTTTAAAAATTCATTTATTTAAGGAAATAATTTTCACTTACCCTTTTTACTTCCTCTTTCTATTGTCCTCATAATCACTTCAAAAAAACACTTTGAAATCTTCTTTTGTAAGATAAACTTTTTTTTTTACTTTTTTTAGTATCAAAAATTTAAATACTAATTTGCTACAATTTTTTAGTAGCAAAAATAATAATAATTAAATATTAATTTACTACAATTTAATGCATATCCTGCTTACTGTAACGACAGCACTTGTACGAACGGCCTGAGTGAACTGAGAGCGGACATCAAGCGGACGTGAGTTATATAGCGCGATGGGAGGGGACAACAGCCAATCACCGCACGCGAGTCTTCCCTCCACTCACTACTGCCGATATAAAAGTGCCGATGCCGCTTCCTCGCGATCAGTTCCAAACGAACATTATTGAGTAACGGAGGAAGAATAAGTCTCCAAATTTTTTTCTTTTTAATAATAGAATTTTTGGGAAAAAATCTGTATTCCTTATATGAAAAGAGTAGATATGCAAATTAGCTAAAGGAAGACAGTTTTATGTTATTTTATAAAAACAATATTAATCAAAGTATAACGCGTCCAGTAGAACAAAAGTCAACCATTACAAAACTATTAGTTATAAAATCCGTCACACGTTTTTTATCATTGTTGATATTTTTAGTTTTCATTCATCGTAATGATATTCTATTTATTTTTTCTAAACAATAATAAAAAAATGCACTGAGCGCGGGAAAAGATAATATAAATGACGATTTTCCTAAAAACGTATATTAATCATCATTGTATTCCGAATGTCTATTCGCAAAATATAATTATATATTTATGTTAATGATTTCGAGTAATTAATACATTGGGATTTCGTTCTTTGAATATAGTGTCTTCATCATGTTAGAACATGACTGCTGGATATTCTCAAGGCTTTATCTCAGCTTCTACCTCGCTGACTTCCTTCATATCAGAATGCAGCATATGCAGGTTTATATAGGAAATTCGGGGAGTGATACGCAAGGGACATGAGGCGATAAATCAAAATAATATCTCTGTATAATCTGCATAATATACATTAATGTATGACATAACATTTATATTGCTCCTATTAAATATAATATAATAGTAATAAAATTTTTACTATTATTAAAAATAATAAAAAAAAGATAATACCACTAATGAAAGGAAATAAAATATATTATCAGCCCAATATTCTCGAAACATTTTCTTATAATAAAAAAATTCAAAAAAAAAATTTCTAAATGTTGCTTAAATATAGACGTTCAAGTTTGAATAAATTTGCATCAATTTTTCCCTTTAAAAAAAATTACAAAAAAGGCTTGAAAATTACCTTTCTAATATGGTACCCCTTTCTAAACTATTTTTATGTTCGAATAAAAAGGAAAAAAACTGAAAATCTATAATGGATTTCAATTGAAGTAATCATTCTTTAAAAAAATTCAATATGATCTGTTAAATCTCAAAAAGAATTTTTACATATACATAAAATTCTAAAGAGTTTCTATATTAAAAGTCTCTTTTTTCCAGTGGGCTTTAGAAAATAAAGAAAAAAAATGAGAAAGGTCTGATGACTAGAGGGGTACCACCACCACTGTAGAAGAAAAAATCAAAGGCAACGTGGTTAATTAAATCCAAGGTCGACTCGTATACAAAAGAGCTCTTCAAATTTCCGCATGCTCAAGATTATATTTATGCGCACATATCTCTCTGTATGTACATACAAATATATATATATATATATATATAATATCCATCCCGAGGCAAATATATATTTGTATTATACATATGGGGCATTCCACGCCAAGTCGGACACCTTTTGACTTTTGCATCTCCGATTTTTTTCAAATATTTTTTTTCTTTTAGTGCTGGTTGAAAGGAACTTCCATGATTTTTTTCAAATTTTTTCATGAAGTAATTTAAGAGATCTGGGTTTTTGAAAAATCACGTTTTTTACATAAATTTTTTTTTTAAATGCTTATAACTCGGACAAAAATTGATCAAATTGGACGTTCGATATATGAAAATTTTTGTTTTTACACGTAGTTTTTGATAAAAATATTTAAAAAAAATTTTTTTTTAATTTACCAAAAAAATTTTAAATTTTAAAAATAAAATTTAATTTTTAAGAATGTATGTATCGATCGATTTTTTTCAAAATTTTTTGTAAGAAACTGGTACTAAATTAAGAATTTTTAATCCTTGTCTGATTGTGGGCAAACGATGGGATCTATTTATTTTGAAATTTTTAATTTTTGTAAAACGGTAGGTAGCCAAATGCCTAACTTGCAATTTGATCAAATCACTTTTTTAAACAGTAAGAAGGTTAAGTTCGGAGAGACTCAGTCTGAAAACAGTTTTGGTTTGAAAAATTTGCATGATTTGGTCAAATGTCAAGTTACGCATTTGGCTACCTACCGTTTCCACTGCGTATACAAAAATTAAAAATTACAAAATAAATAGATCCCATCGTTTGCCCACAATCAGACAAGGATTAAAAATTCTTAATTTAGTACCAGTTTCTTACAAAAAATTTTGAAAAAAAAAATCGATCGATACATACATTCTTAAAAATTAAATTTTATTTTTAAAATTTAAAATTTTTTTGGTAAATTAAAAAAAAAAAATTTTTTTTTTTTTAATATTTTTATCAAAAACTACGTGTAAAAACAAAAATTTTCATATATCGAACGTCCAATTTGATCAATTTTTGTCCGAGTTATAAGCATTTAAAAAAAAAAAAAATTTATGTAAAAAACGTGATTTTTCAAAAACCCAGATCTCTTAAATTACTTCATGAAAAAATTTGAAAAAAATCATGGAAGTTCCTTTCAACCAGCACTAAAAGAAAAAAAATATTTGAAAAAAATCGGAGATGCAAAAGTCAAAAGGTGTCCGACTTGGCGTGGAATGCCCCATATGCATAATACACTTGTCACGTATCAAATTATTATTCTTTGTTAGAAAAAAAAATCATCTCGACATATTTTTCTTCTTCATAAATGAAAATAAAGAGTAAAAAAAAAAGCATCTCAGTAATTGTTTCAAACAAAAGTGGGTCATCCTTTTAGTACTGCGAACAATTCACTAACTTATTTAAATGCAACTATTACATCTATTTGAACTTCACAAAATTGCTACTTAAAAAAAATATTTCAAAAAAATTTTATTTCTATTACAGAATTTTTAAATTCACTTATATTTTCATTTTCGCACTTTCAAGCATTCTTGAAATATTCTTTAATATTTCACAAATTTTCATGTAATAAAATTTTTAATGTTTTCATAAAAAATTTAACAAAGAACGAAGGTGAAGAAAATTATGTTTTTATTCCACTGTCTTGAGAGTTGTTTGTGAAAATTAAAAGCAATTTGATAAAGTGACGAAACTGGCATAAAAAACGAAAAATAAAAACTTGTAGTTGTTGTAAAATAGTTTTAAAGACGATACTTCTATATATACAGTATTTTTATTAGAATTTTATATTATAAAAAATCTATTTTGTTACCGATATTAGATAA